GCCTGTTCCTGCCAGGCAACCTTGAAAACTTCACAGTTTACAATGAAGTCTTGTAAATTTTGTAAACTACTTGAAAATACCTTTGTTTTTGTTTTTAAGTCTTCCTTTTAGTATTTGTGGCATAACCAGTGAAATGATTAGTCAAGAACAGTTATTTTCAAACACAGAGGCAAGGATTTATATATTTTCCCACAAACTGTGATTAATTTACAAAGTTAACATCATAATAATGAATGATGTCACATTTTTCTTGTAAGATCAGAATAAACAAGGTCTTAATTTCTATTTAACATTTTACTGGTGTTCTAGCCAGTGTGATAAGGCAAGAAAGGAAATAAATGCATACAGGAAAGGAGTAAAAGTGTGTTTACTTGCAGACATAATTCTCTGTGTAGGTCATCCGGTGAAATCTACCCTCCAAAAATGCTGTTATTATCACTAACTGTGTTTCTCACGTTGAAGGAGACAAGATTAGCAAATACAATTTAATCCTTTGCATACTGTCTTGGTATATTAGGCTGTTATAACAAAGGATCTTAAAGTAGGTAATTTGCAAACAATGAAATTATCTCCTTCACAGCTCTGGAGGCTTGGAAACCCAAGACCAAGATGCCAGCGGATCTGCTCTCTGGTAAGGGTGTGCCTTCTTTCCTACATGGTGCTTTCTAGCTGCATCATCACAGAGCAGAAGGGACTAACAGACCCCCTTACACCTGTTTCATAAGGGCACTAAACTATTCACAAGGGGTCCTCACCCTTGACAGGTAATCACCCCTTAAAGACCTCACCTGTTAACATCATCACATGAGATTCAGTGTCAGCATATGAATTTTAAAAGGACACCAACAATCAGATAATAGCAGATGTAAAACAAAATAATATTCAAATTTTAAAAAAACACTGGTTGTAATAGTATTATCTACCTAGGGATAAGTCTGATAGAAGATGTACAAAACCTACACAGAGAAAACCATGAATAGTGTTGAAACAGTATCTTAAAGTCTTACAAAAAGAGAACAATAACAGTTTTGATTTAATTTTAGCTTCTATTTATTAACAAATGAGTTTATAGTTGCAAGTAGAATGAACAATAAATGTGATTAAAGTTATTCACTATCATAGTCATACTAGAAAGAAATCTCAAGAAATCTCAAATGCAAAAGGCCGAGCATGGTGGCCTGAACCTGTAATCCTAGCACGAGGAAAGCTGAGGCAGGAGGATTGTTGCAAGTTCAAGACCAGCTTGGGCTACAAAATGAGCCCAAGGCCAATCTGAACTTCAGAGTGAGACCCTATTTCACACACACACACACACACACACACACACAAATTTTTAAAAAATTAAATGTAGAAATGTGTCAATATTTAACTCAGAAAGATTTATTCTTTCAATATTTGATGCTTAGTAACTGTCAAATATTCTGTTTTACGGTGGAAGAATAAAACATGCAATCTGGATCTTATGGAACTATTTAATCTTACAGAGAAGTAAAAAAAATACAAAAACTTAGAAATTATAATTAGTGCTATAAATGAATACAGAAAATGGAAAGATACTATTTAGATAGGATGGTCATAAAAAGTCTCTGTGGACATTGAGGTTACAACCAGAAGCAACAAGAATCAACCAGCCAAAGATAGATCATAGTCTAAAGACCACCACATGGGATAGTCCTGCATGTAAACAGGGGTAGGGGAGGGAAATCTGGCAAGCTGGGGTTTAGGGATGGGTAAAGGGAAAAACTGCATAAACTAAGAGAGGCAGACAGAGATCAGATCTGGTAGAAACATGTTGGGACTGTGGTCTCACTCAGAAGTGTGATGGGGAGCCATTTTATACTTTTAACTAGGTTAACATGATTAGAGTTGTGTTGTTCATTTTGTTTTGTTTTGTAGTACTAGGGATTAAACTCAAGAATTTGCACTGAGCTACATTCCCTAGCCAATTTTAAAATTTTACTTTGTCTTAAAACAGAAGTTTGGCTAACATCCCCAGCTGGGCTCCAATTTGGGATCTTCCTGCTTCAGCCTCCCACAGAACGGAGATTACAGATGTGTGCCACCATCCCCAGCTGATTAGATTTTTATTAAAAGATTAGCTTCTCTGGAGGAGAGCAATATTATAGTTTGGAGGCAATATTATAGTTTAAGTTATCACAGATGTTCCCTTTCTATAAACTCATAAAAAGGCTGAATAATACATGTTTCTATTTAAGTGAGAAAATGTATCACGAACTTAAAAGCAAGCTAAAGATGTAGAAAAGGACACTCTGTAATATAGGGGTCATAAAGATTGAGATTCCTACAAGTATTTGAAAAAAAAAATCTCAAGCTCAAAAAACTCTGAAAAATAGACTATAGAAGGATTAGAAACACTCAGCCTACAGCTGGAGAAAAGCAAGGAAGTCTAGTACCTGTGATTTAAGCAAACCTGACACTTGAGGGTGTATTCAGTCATTACCATCAGGAGACCGACATACGGATAAGGAACAAATGCCTGGACCCTTAAACTGTTACTGAGCAAAAGCATTTGTGCTTTCTTCTGAGACAGGAATTTAAAAGTAGTTTTTGCTAAAACTGCTATTCTTTACTTGGGTTTACAAGTGTACAATAGGTAATTAAAAGTAGAGCAAAGCTTAACCTTCATTTTTGTATCCTTTATTACTTTTAAATTTTAGATATAGGTATCATTTATTTAAGAAAAGTTGACAGAACAAAGTTGATTACTTGCCTGTTTCATTCACCTTCAGAATACAAGAGCCAGATGATGGCACATGCCTATAATCAATTCCAGCATTTTGAGCTGAGGCAAGAATGACACAGATTAGAAGTTGCAAAATTGGCTGAGGAAGTGGGTGTGATCTGTAATTACAAGATACCAGAACACGTGGGCAGAATAGTTTTCAAAAGCCTTGCATGTGGACTTTTTTTAAGAGGACTCCAGGTGGTTGTCCATAGGATGGCCTGGGTCTGACATCAGCCTGTGATGTGGGGACACAGCACTGTCTCTCATGACCCCTATGTAAAATTCTCAAAAGTTTCCCCGAGATTTAGATGGCATAAAAGGACACAGAAGCCAGAAACTTGCTACTGTGGCTTTCCCCACAGTAACATGCCTTGTGTCCTCTGCTTTTTGCCACTTTTACTCTGCCCAAACTAGCTCTGCAATGCCAGTTTTTTTTTAATCCCCAGCCCCCCAACAATGCCAGTTTCTTCACTTTTACTCTTTCTGATAAACTGTCAACAATTTATTTGCTTGTTCCCTTCAGTAGTTTGTGGGAGATAAGAAAAACCTGGAATTCAATTTCAGGAGACATGAGCACCACAAAACCCATTAATATTTATTTGAGGGGGCATTTTAGAATGCAATTACCCAGTAACAGAAAGATGTCAAGTTCAAGTTCAGTCTGGACAACGTAGCAAGACCCTGTCTCAAAATTAAATATAAAAAAGGGTAGGATGTACCTCAGTAAGAAGGCCCTGCATTCAATCCCACTAACAACAAAACTATTAATTCTTGAAATTTATTGCAAGTAAACTAAAATAGTATGGATAAAATTCAGTATGGAACACACAAGTTACTCCAACATTATTAAATCAATTAGATGGCTGTTGCCTACAAAAGGGAAAGAGAATTAAATATTAGACTGTCACTGATTCCCACCTACCATGCAGCTATACAACAATCTTGACCTTAATGTATTTGATTTTCAAAAATTGGATGATGAACCAAGGATTTAGCATTTGCTCGAGCATTTGCTAGAGCTCGAGGTAGTGAGTTCCATCCCCGGTACCAAAAAGTTAAAAAATAAGTAATCACAATAAGTGGATGAAAGTATCCTAGTAAGTCACAACAGCCTTTCACTTTTAAAATGTATTGAAAAATGAGTTCACATTTAAAAGTGTGGATGGTGCTCTCAAATTCCAAAATTTTTAAATTTCCAAAGTCTGAAGAATAAGAGAAATTTCACTCTTTTACCTCTTTAATCACTTATTTAAACTTGAAGTACTCTGTTCAGCTCTTCAGTTCTTTTATCGGGTTGATGTACTGTTTTCCATCCTTCCCCTCTACTTGAATTTGTTCAAAAATATTAACACACTAGCATCCAAAGTCACTGAAGATTTTCAATTATAAGCCCACATAAGCTATTGCTGCTCTTAGGCAAAAGCGCGAAAACAGAAATCTGATTTATGAATCGAATCTAATAACGTTTGAATCTTTTAATCTCCGAAACGCTACTTGAAACTCAGAAGCCCAAGGTAAATGTTCAAGGCAGAACTAAAGACTTCAATAGGCTCCTAAAATCTGTCTCACCTCTCAGCGCATAAGTTTTACACTGTGTTCTGTGAACAAAAAAGACGGGAAATTTTTCAGGACAGACATTCATATGGCCCTTTAAAAAGACTACAATTAGCAACAATCACTAGTAAAAGGAAGCCAGTAACGGGGAAAAGAACTGTGGGAGAAACATGCCTGCAAGCTCCGGTTCTGTCACGTGTATGTGGTCATTAACTACACCCCAATACTCTCTGAATTCCTATTCAAACGCGATACTTTCTGGAGTCAATCTGTAGGACACTCCTACTACAGCTCGCTGCTTCAGTCCCACCTCAGGCTCTGACGCCGGACTCCTCCTCCCCGAGCCCGCTCCAGCTCGGCTGCACCGCGCGCCCCGCCCAATCCCGGGGACCCAAGGGCAGCCACGCCCTCCACTTTCCTTGGCAGACTCTGCCACTTCCTAACTGCCTGCTGATCACAACCTTTTCTTACAGGGTCTTTTCCCCCCTTTGAAGGGAAGAAACAACGAGAATAAAGACTAGGAGACAGAGCAGAGGCAAGTGATTGGAAATGAACATCTGCGTAATCAGGGTTTGCTCAGGAAGTTTTTTCAGCACTACGGCATTGCCTGAGGCAGCCTCTATGGGACCTGGGCGCCAGAGGGGTCCTAGGGAGGCAGAGAATGAAGCGCTGATTGGCTGCTTTGCCGGTTCCCCGGAAGAACCCGGATGTATCCGGACCGTGGAGTTGGCAGTCCGGGTTTAGAGCTTTGGGGACTGTTGGGGTACTGGCAACCTGGGCGAATGGCGCAGGGTTGGGCAGGCTTCTCTGAGGAGGAGCTGAGGAGGCTAAAGCAGAATAAAGGTAACAGACTGTGAGTGCGAAAACTTGATTGTCAGGTCGAAAGAGAAGGAGCAAGGTTGCAATTTGGAGAAGGGGGCGTGGAAAATGTGTTCTCTAGGGGGCTGGAGGTTAAGTAGGCTGCCAGGATTAATGGGCTGCAGAGGTGGATGGATTGAGCTCTTAAGGAAGGGCGGTCCCAGAGCAAGAGAATTGGGGAATCCTTTTCGGGGATTTGACTCTGACCTGTGAAAGGAGTGAGATTTGGGAGAGGAAATGAGTCTATTGCCTAATTGTCCATTATAGGGGTGGACTGAGTCAAAGAATAAAAAAGAAGGCACTGGCTGTTGAAGACTTTATAGAAAGATAGTTATTGGGCAGAAGGAGTCGCGAGACTGCATGAATGCCAAGAGCATTGGCTTTTTTGTTGGTTTGTTTAATGACACATCTGAAGTATTGCATTCTCTTCTTGTTGCCAGATGAATTTTTGCAGTTCTTTCCTGCTCTATACAGCCAGCAAAGCGAAAGTCTTTGAGAAATCAGATGTGTTTCTATAAAAAAAAAAAATGTACGTGGGTGCGTGTGGGTGGACAGCCCCAGTATTTGCAAAGACAGCTTAAATTTTGTGCTTTCCCCCCGGATTTATGGGGTAATCATTGAGTGAGCTTGTGGGTTTTTTAAATAATTCATTTTAATGAAGGAATTAAGTTTGATACTGGCGGAAAACATGATATGAACTATGCTTTGCTTATCATTGCAGATCATTAAGATCTATGCGCTGTGAACACCACTTGGCAGCTTACAGCCACTCTTGATTCTGTAATTTAAATACTACTTTATTTTGGGAGAAATCATAAATCCTATCATGCTCTTTATGTTTTTAGGGAATTGGATATAGTTTGGGTAGCCTGTGCATTTTTAGCATAATTTAGAGTAATCAAGGTCTGAGAATTGCAATTGCAAAAGGAAGTAAATTAATAACATAGGGTCAATGTAGATTATCTGGTTTGTAGAACTTTTGACAGAGCAGAGATATTTAAAATTATATCATAAAGATTATACATACTACTGTGTATGGTTTACTAGCTAACTTGTTGCAGTCAAGTTCTTTCTGTAGATGATTTTGACATCCATTCACATACTCACTTTTTATCCACTTCCCTGTTAAGGAACACCTTGGTTGTCTCTTTTTAATATTGTAAACAGCCTGTTACAAACACTCTTAATCATATTCCCCAATGTACATTCAAGTGTCTCTAGAGTATATTACCTTCATGTTTGCTTGTGCCCAACCACATCTTTCAATTTAATTTTACTTTTTTAAAGTTGGAGAACAGCTAGGATGAATCTAAAAGTTAGAGGTACAATTTTTAGATTTTTACAAATGTTAAAGAAAAGAGGAAAAGATTTAGAGGTGGCTCTGCCAGTTACTATGTTTGATGATGGATATATAATGATCTAAGATCCTTTCTCTGGGCTTAAGTAGTCATAAAGTAGTGATTTGGTGTTCATGCCCTATCATTTCACTGTCAAAACATGGGCTTAGTTTCATTGGCTGTTAGGCCAAATACCACTATGACCTAAAGCTTTGTTATATTCTTGATATCTAAAGTCTAGTTCCCTTGCTCTTCTTTAGATATCTCCTTATTCTTCAACATTTGTCTTATCATATAAAACTTTCAATAAGTTTATCAAATTTCATAGAAATCACAGTAGGGATTTTGACTAGAATTGCGTTGAATCACATGCCTGTAATCCCAGCACTTGAGAAGCTGAGACAGAACTGTCATGGGTTTGAATCAAGCCTGTGTTACAAAGTTAGTTCAAAGCTATCTTAAACTACACAGCAAGACCCTGTCTAAAAAAAAAAAAAAAATCTAGTATGAATCCAATATTGGGAGATTTGACTTCTTTAAATTATTAACAGTAACACCAACATTGTACATGTCACCATACATTTAGGTCCTTGGCATCTTGAATCTTACCAGGTGTGGTGGTACATGTCTGTTAATCCCGTTGTTCTACAAGGCTGAGGCAGGCAAGTTTGAGCCAGCCCGGATAACTAATGAGATTTCTTGTCTCAAAATAAAAATAATAGGCCATGTGCAGGCCGCCAGGAGGACAACCAAACCCCAGCCTTTTCCTGTGAGTCAGCACCATTAGCAGATTGCAGGAAGAGAGAACAAGAAGTCACCAAGAAACAAGCCCTCTCTGCAAATCAGGGCCATTTAATAGCAGTTTTATGTTGGTTTTATTCTCTTTAAGATAAATTTTTAAATTAAATTAAATAAAAATAATAAATGAGTATAGCTCAGTGTAAAGGCCCTATGATAATTGCCTGGAAGACCAAAAAAATTTTTTTTCAAGAGAAATTTTTTAATTTAAAGAGGATAAAATAGAATAAAACCAATCAAAACAAAGTAGTGTAAAAGATACTAGATTTCAAAACATTATGAAATCAACAGTAGTTACCATAATGCCTTTTGATGTCTTCAAAATAGCTGCAGATAACTTCGGACATAGTAAAAAACAAACAGAACAGGATAGAATAGAAACAATAAAAAACAAAATGAATGCAGTAAAGGACTTCAAAACAAGCTAATAGTAAATCCAAAACTGGTACCTTGCTAATGTATCTTGCTATCTTTGAAATATATGCTCGTGCCATCAGATTTAATGTAAAACAAAAGAAAATAAATTCAACCCAACAAAACAATGGAAATGATACAGGCCCTCAAAACAAGACCATAGAGAATCAACATAGCTTCAACCCTCAGAAGGAGATCTACCCCTCAAGATATCACACTGCGTACCACTGGACCTGTGATCAGACCACTGGCCCTAGACCTGCAATGTTAGTGAAACACCTAAGCACCACAGGCGTCCAATTGCATTTCACCTCAATAGCTGTCATCACAGCCTGTGTTTCTCCAGATAAGCATATTGCTTGTGGGGCGTGGCGGAAATCCTATTCCCACACATTGGAAGGAGCTGGGGTCTGGCTTTCTCCAGTCTGCCAGCAGCCAGCACATGGCACTGGTTCCCAGACTGGGCTTGTTTGCTGGTGTGCCTTCCTTCTCTGCCCAGGGCCTCAAAAAGATTTTTGTAAGGGGGCTAGTTTTACCCCTAGACACATTACAATTTGTGGTATTAGAATTTTTTCACTCATATTTTCTTTCAGTCTTTTCTTGTGTGTGTGTATGTGTGTGTGTGTGTGTGTGTGTGTGTGTGCACGCTAATGGGATTGAACCCAGGTCCTTTGCACTGAGCTATATCCCTATCCTTTTCATTTTTTATTTTGAGATAGGCGTCTTGCTAACTTGCTCTGGCTAGACTTGAATTTGCAGTCCTCCTGCCTCAACTTCCCAAAGTGCTGAGATTATAGCTGTGTTCTGCCATGTCTGCCTGAAATATTTTCTCTTTAATTATGTTTTTGGATTCTTTACCACTGATAATATGAGAAATATAAACAAATCAAAAATCAGTCAGGCATGAATAGATATTACATTAAAAGAAAACATGAAGAGATGATGAACAGAGAAGTACAAATCAAGAGTACAATGAGATGCCACACCATACCTAGATTAAAATCAAAACATCTTTGAAAATCTGACAAAAATGAAAACATTTGATAATATCTTATACTAAAAAAGAATGCATCCACTAAATCTTACACATTGCTAGATGCAAGTTACACTTTATGGTCCAGTAGTTTTTAGATATTATCTAAGGCAAATTTTTGCACGTAAGGAATTGTAACAGCAGAATTCACAGAAACAAAACCTAGAACCATTGTAAAGTGTCCAAAAGTGTAAGATCAGTAGACTGGTTTATTCATACTATACAACATTCAGAATGTGTGGCAACATGAATAATGTGGATGAATGCTGGCATTAAAACATCAAGCAAAGAATGTGTATATCATGTCAGCCATTTTTTGCAGTTAAGATGACCAGATATTCTCAGGAATATTTGCAGATGCAGTATGACTGACAGAAAAGGAAAGCAACGATGAACACAAGATTCATATCATAGCTATCTTGAGGGGAAGGAACAAGGCTTCATGTTTGTTGCCCTTGTGAGATAGGGCATATACAATTTCAGACAATGAAATTTAGCAAAAGTGTTGTCACTAACGGGCCAGAGCAATGAATTTTTGTAACAGGATCTTCCTCACTGTCTTCCTCTGTTTTGATGGCTAACAAGGCTAAATGATCATCTGGAGTCCTGAGAGACTGATCAGCAGAATCCTTCTCCTGGCCTGTAAAATTAGCACATGGCATTAAGGAGAAATAAATCTTTATTACTTAATTCACTTAAGATTTTGGCATTGTTTCCTCTAATAGCATAATCTAGATTTTCACAATTGATGTGGTTCTCTGTAAAACTCAGGGTATTTTATGTGAAAATGTGAATTTAAATTGTGAGCAAGCGAAGTATCTGGTTGTACTGACCTAAATTTTTTAATGACAGCAGTTGACTAGTGATAGCCATGAGTATCTTCTCTAGAATTATGCTTCTCAGTTTGTCTCTTTGGTATTTGGAGCCCCTAGTACACAGTATATAAAAGTGTGAATTGTTCAGGAATGAAAAAAAGCAACACTTTTGTCTTATAGGTACATTCTGTAAAAATGCAAAATAAAATGAAAGCTAAGCTACAGTAACTTAGTTGCAGAGGACTTAATAATTTAGGGGAGCTGGCCCTGGTGGCACATGCCTATAATCCCAGCACTCAGAAAGCTAGAGGATCATTATAGGTTCAAGACCAGCCTGGACTACAATGTGAACTGAGCGCAAGGCCATCTTGAATTATATAGTGAGACTGTTTCAAAAAGATAAAACACACATGGGCCAGGAATTTAGCTCTGGCGTAACCGCCTGCCTAGCAAGGGCGAGATGGTGAGTTCAATCCCCAGTACTGCAAAAACAAAACAAAACAACACACACACACACACACACACACACACACACACACACATTTCGGGATGAGTTCCATTTTCTGAGGATGTGATTGAAAATCCCTAGTTACGAAGTTTCTGTTGCAAGAGGATACTTTGCAATTCTTTGTAAAGTCCATAATAGCATTGACTTTTGATAGTACTGCTGAGTTCTTCAGAAGTGTTTTCTATAAAGCTCATCTAATTCTTGTTTTTTAATTTTAAAATAAATAACTGATACAGAATTTCAAAACAATAATAGATTAACAATGGTTAATATATTGCATACTGTTATCTTAAAATTAGTTGCTCAGATTATATGATATAGGCATGAAAAAATGATCAGTGAAAGAACAGACCGTTCTTTTTGATGAACTAATAGAGATTAGTAGTATAATTATATATATATATAATTTTTCCTTTCTTTCTTTCCTTCTTTCCCCCATTACAGTTGTTCTTTACTTTTGTACCTTATCTGATTCTTACATTAACTGTGTGAGTTAAAAGAGAGCAGATAATTTGCAACTGGTTTGACAGATGAAGAAACCAAAGTGTTGAATAGGTAAAAGGCTTGCCTGAAGTTAGTGAGCTAGTCTGTAGCAAAGCTGGGACTTTGACTCCAGAGCTTTTAATGCATTCGGGAAAATTTAAATAATGAGTTTATGTTGTGTTGCATCAAAGATCAAAGTGCAGAATTTAAGAGTCCTATTTGAAGGGCTCATAATTTCATTTCCCAGGCATTTTACAGAGAATGCTGTTTATAGATTTCATGAAATATAGTACAAATGTTCTCCGCTTGCCTTACTTAAAAAGTTAACACTGGCATGGACAGCTCGAAAAATATAATAGAATTATTATTATTTAGTTATACTTAAAAATGTTCCCCCAGCTTTTTCTCTGTTAGTTTTTTCAGGCTATTACCAAAATTAATTTGCATGCATTGATTTAGAGCCTGGCTAGACTTTGGGAAATACAAACTTCCATTGTTCTGCAAGGTGAAGGCAAAAAAAAATGCAGAATTAACTAATGTTTCTAGAAACAAGACTTTATTTAATTGCATTTCTTATAATGTTTACCTGCGTATCAAATTACCTCAGGAACCATTAAAACTGAAGAGAAGGAATCCATTTGACACCTAACCAGCATTTTGTTTCAGGAGTATAAGTGGAACTGTAAGTCAAACATAAAACACATCAGAGAATCAGAGAATTCCATTTTCTGCCTAGATAGAAATTAGTCATATTTTTTTTTTCTGCTGTATTGAGGGTCAAATCTAGCAAACAACTCACCACTGAGCTGCATCTCTGCCCCCTTTTTATTATTTGAGAGAGTGTCTCACTAAGTTGGCCAGGCGGGGCTGTCATATGCATTTTTCCTGCCTCAGCCCCCCAAATAACTGAGATTGTAACCTTTGCCACCTTGCACTATGCTATTTGGTTTTTTGACAGTTACCTAACTCACACATAAGTGAACTTTCTGTGAAAAGCCTGATTAGTTTATGTCAACAGTATAATATGCAGTCTGTTGGAACTCTACAAGAATATGGCTGCCTTTGGTAAAAGAAACCAGAACTGTTACTGAAGTTCAATGTCAGGGTTTTATTTTCTTAAAGAGACTGTGATCGTTGCTGCTCACACAAAGGAATTTTCTTTCTCTCTCTTTTGTGTAGCTTCATTTGAACCTCCACGCCGTCTCCCTGTAAAGAAAACTCGACAACAGCTTCAGCGAGAAAAGGCCCTACTAGAGCAGAGCCAAAAACTTGGACTTCAAGGTGGCCCAGCGTCATTACCTCCAGAGCAACTGCTGTCTGCCCCCAAACAGAGAATCACCACTCCGGAACCACATTCTCCCCCAGCTAGGACTTGTCCTAGCCCTGCTGCACTTACCTCTCCTGTTGGTGACGGGGAACTGTTGGGTACTGAAAATCAGCCCAGGAAAGCAGGGCTTGAGAATTCCCGTGATGGCCAAGAAAACTGTGAGGTTCTGCCTCCAAAGACAGATTGCAAATCGGAGAAAAAGAAAGTGGAATTGTTAGTAAGTCTAATAAGACTTTCTACTTCCCTTTTTGACTCCCATTGGGAAAGGGAGTTGGTTCTAACATTTCAAGTGTGGTCTATAAACTACAGAAAAATAATTCCACCTCTGTATAGTGTGAGCTAGTGGTTGCAGGCATTTTATACGTTTTGTATCATTTAATGATCACAACAGTTTTACAATGCATGTTTTATTTTCATTATAGATGAGGCAGTTGGAACGCAGAAAAGACATCTTTCTAAAGCTAAAACACAGCTAGTAAGTGCTAGAGTTGGGATTCACTTTTCAGTGTGTCTGCATCCAGAGTCCGTGGCCATTAATGCTCACCAGAAGCAGTGTTAGTAGGTACAGTGCCACTCCCAGGATGCATCTACTGTTCAGCTTCCAGCTGACATCCTTATTTAGGGAGAGACATGGCCAGAGAGAATGTACAGGAGATTAAAGCACCAGTTGCTACATCACTAGGGCTTCCTTGTCTGGCCTTCATAGCGAACTGCTTCTTCAACCCTTTTGTAATTTTGAAACAATGGCTCACTAGGTTGCTCTGCCACCATCCCCAGCTTATTTAATATGCTTATATCAGAAAAAAAAACAGTAATTTAGCCATATTCTTGTGACAAATGCCATTGTATAAATGTCATGAATTCTTGAAATAGTATTTAGGGAGAAGAGATGGCATTTGTTTTTGTTGTTATTTTTCTGCATTTTCTTCTAGTCTCAGGTAAACTTCTAATCTCTGGTGATGTGGATTCCATACTGTGAGTTTAAAATGTTTCCTGCTCATTAGGAGTGTGTGACTAAGAGTTCGTTGAGACAAGAATTCAGGTGCTCCATGAATAAAGAAACCTGCATTAAAAGAATAAAATACAGTTATATATCTTTAAATAGAGTTTACCCAGAAGGGCCCGAGACCAGTGGAAGCTGAGTTTAAACTGAACTGAGAAAAATTATTTTTAAGTTTAGAGAAAAATCATTTTTTAAGTACTTGGGAGAATACTCATGGAAGACAGTTGAGGCAGCATTGATAAAGGAAGAATTTTGGAGTTGTCAGCAAGGAAAAGGAAAGCTGTGTTCTGCAGAATGTTCTCAGATGACATCCGACTCCTGAGAGCCGCAAAGGTGGGCCAGAGAACGGCAGGCAGTAAAGAGGTAGGGAAGTGGGTACTGTGGGTTTCCTGGTGTAGCCTGATGCCAGGCCCTCGAGGAGAAATGGGCAAGCAGTGATTTGAGAAATGCCAGGGGTCGGTGTTGGCTGATCATTTGGGAGGGAGCCTGGGTGAGGAGATGCCCGCCGTTGTAAACATGAGAAGTAACCAGTGCTGACATCGAGGAGGATCTGTAGTAATGAAGAGAGGACAGTTTCGGAAGTGGTTTGTAGAGTCTTGAAATCATAGCTGTGAGAAATGCCAGAATTAAGAATAAAAAGCTTTGCTCTTGTTTAAGTTGACATCAAATTCATTTTTTTTTTATCAGTACCAGGGATCGAACTCACAACCACCTGCTTGCAAGGCAGGTGCTTATGCCACTGAGTTAGCCCCCAAATTCATTTCTTTATGAGAAATTTTATTTTTAAACTTTTTGCGGGAAATTTTAATACATTTATTTTAGAATTGGGAGACAGTACAAGTTTAAGATCTTTGAAGTTTTCTTTAGTCCAGTTCCATTTGACTTTAGCACCTAGTACTTTACTCTGTTTAAACATTGTTTAGGAGATGGAAGAGTCAGTAAATATAAAACATATATAGTCTGTCGAGGAAACATTGTCATTGTCTCAAGGTTGTTAAAGTGAAAGGGACCTTTTTTTAATAGAAAATTGTTAAGCGAAGCAGAGCATGGTGACATGCTATAGTCTCGGCCTTCAGGAGGCCGAGCATGAGGATCGGAGTTTCAGGCCAGCCTGGCCTATACAGAAGAGTCTGTGTCTCAAAAAAAAAAAAAAATAAGTAAATAACCTCTTTAAGAGGTATGACATAACATGAACTACAGCCCAATTTATTTTAACCTCCATTTTGTATATAATGCATAATTAAGTTATACACATTTTTTTCATGTACTCCTTAAAAAATGCCATAATACTCTGGCTTCCAGTTTATGGGTTCCTAGGTTATGTACATAATGGATTTCAAAGGTTTCTGTAAGCCTTTTTACTTTAGATAATAGTCTGTCCCTGTTAGAATAGAATAGTGAGCTACAGATGGTTTCTCCTAAGAGGATTTTTGAAAGAAAATGTATATAATTTGCCTGGTTAGACTTTTTACATCAGAGACTGAGGCTTGGAAGGTGTGAGGTAAGAGAGTCTCTTCCATAAATTCATTTATATGACATTTTTCCTTCCTAGGCAAGAAAAATCTCGTTGGCAAGTCCTCCAGCAAGAACAACGATTAATGGAAGAGAAAAATAAACGTAAGAAAGCTCTTTTGGCAAAAGCGATTGCAGAAAGGTGAGGCCCCGGAACCAGGAGAGGTTGTGTGTAACCTGCAGTCTCGTCTATCATTGTGTCATGTGTATTTTCCCATGGATATTCTAATAAACTGATATTTTCTTTAAAGTTGTTACTTTGAAGGTTAGCTAAACTACTTCTAAGAGATACTGAAATTCCAATTTAATTTATTAAGGAGGATTTTTAAAGCATAAATCATAATGAGCTTATACATATAGTTGCAATTAAACCTCAAAGGCCAGCATCAGTGTTTCTGATTGTAATCATCTACACTGTCATAAGAGAAGCAGTAATTAGCTATCAGTATACGTAAGTGAGCAACAGATGCAGGTTTTTAATTTTAATATGGAAAAGCCTTAAATGATGTGACTGTAGAGGAGATGAATTCTGTGCATGTAACTTACACTACCGTAGATCTTCATTGTGTTTCTCATAATCATTTCTCTTCAGTTTATCCTCTGGCCGCTAATATCATATGTAATATGATTTAACCTTGCATTGGTGACCTAGGCCGATCCTTCTTAGCCTTGTGTGATGGGTGGCTTTTCTCACACCTCCCAGTGTTTCTTTGCCAGTGATCACTTCACAAGTCAGCAAAGCAGAGGCCAAGAACAGTATGAACTGACTGCAAATATTTGCTTAGATTTTCTTTTTAGACCTCTGGAAAAGTCTGGCAAAATTATCGTTTGATGTGGAGTATATGTAAAGGCAAAGGAAGGTGTAAGAGGAAGCTAGGTGGGCATAAGAGCAATTCAGAATTTTATCTGCCACAGGATGTGTGTATTTGAAATGCTTTTTTCCCCTCACAGTGGTGTATCTCGATCTTCTAGGAGTATGAGAGATACACTACTTACTGTGTTACAAAAAAAGAACACATACAAATAAGTAGCAGTGCCTTCTTATTTTCCCCCCACATCTGATTATTTTTGAAAAGCATTTTATTAGTTTTTAGTTTAGAAAAAGGATATATATTGTTTGCTAGGAATTTTACAAAAATGACTTACAGGTTCAGCACATCTTAGTGCTGGTAAAGTGTATACTGTACTACTTCAGGACAGGTGGTGAGGGGACTGAAAGATGAAATTGGATATACTTTAAACTACAGGGAAAAGATGTCTTGATTTTGAATCCCACAAATAGTTTTCAGAACCTGTAGTTTTGCCTAGAGACCAAGAATCAAAGCAATAAAGGTAGGGAGAAATGGGTCCTAAGGGTGCTGAAAAATAAGCCAAGTATGGTGGTGCACACCTGTAATCCCAGAGTTCTAGGAGGCTGAGGCAGGAGGATCAAAAGTGTAAACCCAGCCTGAGCTGCTCAAGGACTTTGAGGATGCCCTGCCTCAAAATAAAAAAATAAGGAAAAGATTACAGTCTACCTTGTTACATGGTTATGAAAATTATAGATACTCATAGAAAGTTTGGGAAAGTACAGGGAAAAACTAAAATACATCTTAATGTTGGTAGCATTAATTTCATTTCAACTCTCACTTTTCTAATTTTTAAAAAATTATGTACTACAGTCATATCTATCTATCTATATATCTTTGCATATCATATACATACTTTTCAAATGCTTTTGTGCTTTTCCCCCCTTCATGTTCTTTCTAGATCTAAAAGAACTCAAGCAGAGACTATGAAACTAAAGCGCATCCAGAAGGAGTTACAGGCTTTAGATGACATGGTTTCTGCTGACATTGGCATCCTCAGGAACCGCATTGACCAGGCCAGCCTAGAGTATTCCTATGCACAGTGAGTTGGGGAAATTCAACCTTGAATAAGGAATCTGGTTTAGTTCATGGTTAGTGCTAGCTAAGCCAGTGGCTGTCGTATCGTCTTGTAAGTCTCATAACTCTGTTAACCACTGTATTTATTCCTGTTTCCTGCTCATTCCTGGCATCTTTTCTCCTGTGAAGTCTTCCTTAAATCTACTTCATCAGTTAAAGTTAGTTTTGTTTATATGCTTGTCCTGTATTATCTATTGATATTTTAGTTTTTACTGGTAAACTGTCAGCTGCTTAATGTTTGGGACATACGGTAATCTCTAAGGATCTAGTAAAGTAAATGTCTGAGTGACTTGTCCCAAAACTATTTTTCTAACACCAAGTCAGTAGTCTTTCCATTAAAGACTACTTTCCATTAAAACTTTTTAATTATTCAATATGGTTTGTAATGGAATTGGAGTCTAATCTCACTTCTCTTTTCTTGTTTTTGTTTTTGGTTTTTTACCGGGGATCGGACTCAGGACCTTGCACTTGCCAGGCAGGCACTGTGCTGAGCTATATCCCTGGCTCTTAATTTTCACGCAAATAAGAAAATCTAGATTGTTTTTTTTTTTAAGTTTAGAAATATTTTAAAGAAAATATCATTCTAAAGAATATCGAACTTTTTCTACTATTTTTTCTTTATGATTATACTGTGTACAAAATGATTTGATGTGTTGTTTTTAACCATTGATATTTTTTATAAAGAAAAATCTTCATGGAACATTTTAAAAATGAACTAACACATGTAAACAATTACATGGACCTTGCAAATAGATAAAAGGGCAAAAAGAATGTCCAATTTCAAGGTTTTCAGTCTCTTCCCCATTGCTTTAATCATCCAGTTTGTCTGTTTTCACAAGGGAATGTTGTGTTAATGACTTAGTTTTGCATCTCTCTGTAACACTAGAAATCAATCCGAATGCCCCATTAGTCCAGGGTAGACCACAACATTAAGATGTTTATACAACAATTTGATAAAGCGGAAATGCTTGATTGTGGTTTGTAATTCACTGTTTTGTGTTGAAAAAAGAGGTTTGTGGTTGTGCTTGTCATACTTGTAATTGTTGTTGAACTGTAGGCCATTGGCTGTAGTGTAATGGAGCTGCCTTTATTTATTAAGTTTAAATTAATGCCATCAGTAGCTGACTCCTGATTCCTATTAATACGTTAAGGAAGTAACCAAGATTTTATTCATATTAAACTAAAGCTTTGATTTTTATCACTTTATTCTCTGTAATACGAGTTTTCCAAAGATCGTTTCTATGCCTTACAGCCCTCTATGAATTACTCTTATTAACAGGTACAGTGCAGATGTGAGGGATGGAGAAGGATGCCTTTGTGTGTGATATAAGATAGGCCAGTTTTAGCCTTCAGAGACACCACAAAGAGATTGGAACTACCAGATAAAGAAGAAAACATCCTACGATATATATTCTTTTTTTAATTTACTTATTTAATTTAATTTTATTTTGTTTTGGTTTTGTCATTTTGAGACAAAACCGTACTGTGCAGTTCAGACTGGCCTTCACTTTGTAGCCCAGGCTGGGCTCAAACTTGCAACAATCTTCCTGCCTCAGCCTCCAAGTCCTGGGATTACAGGTGTGCACCATCACACCTGGCTTTGAACTTTTAGTGAATTCTTGCACAATAAGTATATTTCACATAATATTATATCTTTATCAACTAAAGATGTCAGTTTTTTTATAGTACTGTTACTGACATAACTGTTTAAATGATACTGCTTAAGGCTATTTCTTTTTTAAAAAATTAAGCTCTTGAGCTATGAACCAAAGAGAAGCTTAGATAGTTGTGACTAGAAACAGGGTTGTGACTTGCACTTGCATAAGGGTAAGACATTTTCTAAATTTGTTTTTGTGGTTATTGAGAAATTACAAGTTGGTAATATAGTATTATGGTCCAAGTCTCTACAAGAGATTCACTTGATTTTTAAAAATAAAAGTAATATCTTAGTTCTGCAGTGTTTGATATAGTGCTGTGTCCATAAAAGGTTCTTGGATGGTAAGTGAGAATCCACTGTAATTCCGGCTGGTGTAGAGCAGTCTCAGGCTAGGTAACCTCTGCAGAAACCAGCACTTGGAGCTCACAAACTCCAGAGCCACACCACTGCCACAGCTGGGATTACTGCTGTGTGCTTGCTGTCTGTGCAGACCACTTAGGATCTTGAGAATGGCTGTTTAGTGTGTATGCCAGGAAAAACAATCATTCCTGTTTATCATGTGGGCTTGGTAGACAACCCACACACATACATGCATACAAATGTTTTTCAATCACTTTATGAATAATTTACAGACATGAGAATAAAAGACATCATAGAAAACAACTTCTATGGGGCTGGAAACAGCCTACCTCTTTGTATCAAAATATTTGACTCACGAACATGAAGAAGTAGGCGACTGAGCTATATCCTTTTACCAATACAGGACAGACATTTACATTAGCTTAAGTTCTGTCTACTAAATTATTAATTGTATGAGAATGTCATGTTTCCTTTATGTGTTTAGAAATAAATTTTATGTTTTTGATAAATCTTGAGTTTAAGGAAATTCATCTAGGAGGGGTTTTCAGATTCTGAGATTTAACTTACTCACCAGTGTCACCACCTAGATTCTAAAGAATGTGTCTGCATTTTTGTTAGTTCCATAGCAGTGCCGGAACAGATTAGCACAGCCTGGACAGCTGAGAACATCAGAAACTTCCCTCAGACTCACATTCAGAGTTACCGTGTCATCAGGACCATGCTTTCTCAGACCCTAGGGTTCAGTTCCTTGCCTTTTCCAAACTCCAGTGGCCTTCAGTGCTCCTTGACCTGTGGCTAGATCTGTTCTATGTCCCTGTGGTCACATTTCTTCCTCTTCTCCACAAAGCTGTGTCTGCCTTCTCCCTTCAGAGCGTCCCTGTGATCGCACTTAGGGCCCCACTCGTTATTTAGAACACCCTTCTCAGATCTCTTAATTACATCATTTGTCCTTTAAGATAATTTTCATACACAGCAATATTACAAAATTACATGGATTACTAGGTAAGTGATTTATTTAACCATGGTAAAATGCCTTTCTCTGTAACTTTTCTCCCACTTTGCCAATATGAAAATGAAAAAATACTTATTAACTGTGTTCAGTGAGAATTAACAACAGCTGAGTGTGGCAGGTGGTACCTATAAGCTCAGCTCCCCAGGAGGCTGAGGCAAGGGGATTACAAATCTGAGGCCAGCCTCGGCCATTTAATGAGTTCCTGTCTCAAACTCCACAATGCCAAAAAGCAAAACCCACCAAACAAACCCTAAGAACAGTTTATAGTGGTGGCGTTTGTGGTCTTTTATACTGTCTTGTGACATATGTTGAACACAGAAAACTAAACAGTAGCAATTTGCTTCATGTTCCATCATCCTTTTAAATCATTCCATAATTCTCTGTTTTCTCGTTGGTTTAATTTTTAGCATAAATGGGAATAATTGGGATGATAGGGTGGCAAAGTGTTTCACCGTGTAAGAAAAATACTTCTATAATCCTTAGATTTATAAAAGGGTATTTTGGACCCATGTAGTAATTGCAAAATATAATTCAGTTTAACTTATAAGAAAATGAATTTTTTTGTTATTTAAAAGACTTGAACGTAGAGAGGGAAAGGTGAGGAAGGGACGTAAAAAGAATTAAGCTGTGTTATGTGCATGGACTACCTCCTTGTGATGATTGTAATCACAAACTACAAACAGGTGCTAATAAAATTTTTAAAGTAAATTTTGAAAATAAAAGATTTCTGAGAGAGGATACAGGTGGAATACTAATCTGTACAGAGAGTTAAAACTGCTCAAAAAAGAACTGAAAACCTAAAAGTGAACCCAGTGGACCCCAGTGCTATACCTGAGAGTAATGATTAAGTTTAAAAAAGAAAAACTTCCAGGGAGCTGTGGCACACACCTGTAATCCCACCTGCTTTGGAAACCCAGGCAGAAGATCACAAGTTCAAGGCCAGCCTGGGTAACTTGTGCAGGCCCTGTCTCAGAGTAATAAGGGCGATGTGAGTCCCAGTGTTCATCCCTATACCACTGAAAGGGAGGGGGACGGGGGCAGGGATGCCAGGAGACAGTTTGTAGAACCCTTTAAATAGCAATCACTAAATCCTTTTATGTTCTTTTAAAATAACAAAACTATTCTGTTCCTGTGTACCTCATCATACTCTGATTTGCTATTATCTACCTGATCCCTACACTAGAGATACAGCTTGGGAAACTAATCAGTATCCTAGACATAAACCACTTTACACTGGTGAATATGTATGTGCATTTCTGGACAGATTAAATAAACAAACAAAATCTTCAATGGTTCATCTAGGGTGAAATACCAGTGGATATCCAGGAACCCAGTGTTAATTTCAGTTCAGTATTGGTGAGCCTGGTCTGTAAATCTCTGCTGACTTTGGCTGGCTCAGGGTAACACAGACTTGCAGAGAAGGGAGGTGTGAGTATGGGAAGAGGCAGAGTATGGATTTAACTATGGAGAAGCTTGTCAAGGCTCTGAATTAATACAAGAACATTCCTTAGCAGGAATATTATACAAAGTGGAGATAAGGACCCAGATAGCCAACAGAGTTCTTTTGGAGCAATTCTTATAACAGGAGGTTACAAAAGCAACTAGCTGGTAAGGAGCAAGTAATTCTCTCGTTCTTGTGTTTATTAAGTAACAAGACAAAAATACATGAAAAATAAAAATCACATAAATAAGAATTTTCAAATATAAACACCAGCTCTCTCAGTTTTTCACATTATTTTAGGTACATGTTTACCAATATTAATGACAATGCTTTTTGACTTCTGGGAAGCTCTGTTTCTCAAGAACCTGGCTGCCAGGCATTAGGCTAGAAGTGAGGCCTGTTTATACTATCATTGTTTTACAAATTGGCCAAGACTCAGCTAACGTAAGTGCTCTAATTCACCATAGTGGAGCTTTCTGTCCTCTCTTGCCTTTTCACCAGTCATTTCTACAGGGAACTGTGTTTTCTTTTTACTCCTCATGGTTGACCTGATAGGCTTTGGAGTACAGGACTTTTAACCCACAGGCTAACCAATGGCTCCTGAGCACTGATTTGGAGCTCTGATTAAACTGTGATGAACCAGACCATCCCAGGTTCTTGTTCTGTAACTTCACAGCTGAATCACCAAGAGATTGAATGGAGTGAATTTGATGTAGAGTTGCAACTGTTAGCCATATTAGGCTGTTTTGTTTTGTTTTTTTGAGGCAGGGTCTCTGTAATTCAGGCTGGCCTTGAACTCACTATGTAGCCCAGGCTGGCCTCCAACTCATGGTGATTCTCCTGCCTCAGCCTCCCAAGTGCTGGAATCACAGATTTGTGCCACCATGGTTGGCTTATTTTAGACTTTGAGTAAGATAGAAAAGCTCAAAAGGAGAAACACTGGTTTCTAAACATTAAAGAGAATAACATTCAATTCTGATGACTTGTCTGTGAAATTACCTCTTAAATAATACAGAAAAATATAGTAAAATCAGTTTTTTTCCACTGAGCTAATTTGGATGTCTGTTCTTTGCATTCAAAGACCAAACAGGTAGGCACAGTAGATGGCAGTGGAAAGTTCTGGATGCAGGTTCTCTAAAGTCAAACCTTTTATGATTTTCCCTGTGTTTCCTTTTAAGATAAAACCTTGCATTAGGAAATTGTTTTTATTATAATTTTCATAAGCTGCTTATTATATTGAGTTGAAGTAGGTGAGCAGTTTCAACAGGTAAGCTCACATGGCCTGCACAACTGTTAGTGGTTTGTAATTTGAAGAGCTAGTTAACCAATGGGAATGAGTCTGTCTTTTCTTGGAAAAGAAGAAACTTCTTACCTTTTTTGCAAAAAAAAAAAAAAAAAAGCACAATGGATTATGTAGAAGAAGCAGAAGATAATGGACAAAGTTATAGTAACATTACTTTTTGTACCAATTTAGTACAAAAGAAAAAAGGCAAGTTGTTAGAGGGTGACATCTCTACTAGACTTAGCCTATTTCATCTAAAACTGGCATTAGCTTTTTATAGAGTTTATATATGTGTAAATACAGAAATGAACTTCCCTCCAACCTTCCCTATCCTATGTCTTCCCTACCCTCCTCGCCTTTTTTCTTCCCTGTACTGGAGATGGGACCCAGCGTCTTTACAGTGAGCTGTGTTCCCAGCCCTCTCTAGGTTTTTGTTTTTTTTTTTGAGACAAGGTTTTCCTAAGTTACCAGACTGGGCTCAAACTTGTGATCCTCCTGCCTCAGCCTCCTAGAGCACTGAGATTACAGGCATCCATCACTATCCCAGGCTATAAAATTTAATAAAGTGTAACAGTGTTCTGTTGCTTCTGAGTGGAGAGAGTAAGAACAACTTAACCCACAGAGTCTCAACTGGGAGCAGTTCTGGGCTCTTAAGAAATGTTTAGCAAGGTCTGGAGACATTGTTGGTTGTCAGCACTAGTGGGTGGTACTGGCAGCTGGTGAGTCAAAGCCAGCGATGCGGTTCAGTATTTCACATTGTGCAGGGCAGTTCCTCACAAGAAGGAATCAACGTGGCCACATTGTCAGTAGCATAAAGGTTGAAAATCCTGCATAAACGTATCCTGAAATTTTCTGTTTGTTTACTTCTTGTCCACATTTAGTGTCACTTTGTTGGGTGTGCTCTATTTTCTGTATCCATATCATCTTTCTCCTCCATCAAAATGATTCTTTTCTAACCCATTAATGAAGAGGTGCAATGCATGTACCAACTGCCCAGGATGAATATAATCATTATGTATTGGAAGCATGCAATAAAATAATTTTTAAAAAACAATTCTTTAATATAAAAAAATTAAAGAGATGGAGGTTTTTGCTGGACATGACGGTGCATTCCTCCAATTCCAGGTACTTACATGAGACAGGAAGATTCCAAGGATGGGCAAGGGAGAAAGACATAAATTTTCTACTTCCTCTGTTTCTTTTTTTTTTACCTCGTCAGTTGAACTGGTGCGCTGAAGGTAGCTTACACAAACTCATGAGAGCAGATTTTATGCATCTCTTCCCAGTTTTTTATTTAGTGATGTCACACTGGTAATTCAGAATTGTCCAGGGTAGCATTATATACGCAGAAACTGTCAAACACAACAAATTGGAGCTCTCCATCCTGCATTCCAACCCTAAAGCCAGCTCGTCACTGAATTACCACTCTTAGCCTGCCTTCGCTCAAGCACAGCTTTCTTTTTTTTTTTTTTTTTTGTCTTTTTCATTTTTATCGGTACCAGGGATCGAACTCATGACCACACACTTGTAAGGAAGGCGCTTATGCTGCTGAGCTAAATCCCCAGCCCCTCAAGCACAGCTTTCAAAAGATGAAATTAGTATGGAACAGTGGTGTCAAACCTATGGCACGTGTGCCACAGCAGGCTGTGTGTATCGTTGAGAGTTCTAAAAGATTCTCCATCACTGGTATAGAAGAATGTTTTTATACCAGGTGAATCCAAATGAGGATATTTGAAAGTTTCAGCCTCCATAGCCTAATTTATCCCACATGTAGGCAAGTGTTTGTAAAGTGCTAATATGTGTGCTTTCATTGTACATTTCTTCCCCAATCCTGGAGCTTAATTATTGTTTCTAGACCCTTTGCTGAGTAACTGCTTGGAAAACTAACGTACCAATCTCTGTACCTGTCCTCATAGGAAACGATTTGACAGGGCTGAAACTGAGTATGTTACTGCAAAGCTAGATCTCCAGCGTAAGACTGAGATCAAAGAGCAACTCACCGAACACCTTTGTACAATCATACAGCAGAATGAACTCCGAAAGGCCAAGAAGCTGGAGGAGTTGATGCAGCAGCTGGATGTGCAGCCCGATGAGTCACTGGAACTTGAAGTGGAGGTGGAGAGACTGCTTCGTGAACAGGAAGCGGAAGGAAGGAAACAAGTGGTTCCTAAAGAAAGGCTGCATCAGCCTACTACAGACAGTATGACTGCAGGGCTTGCTAAAAAGAACAGAGCGTCTCCAGAGCAGGCCGCTTCCCCAGAGGTAGACAAACAGTGTGAGGATTCCAGTAGCACCTCCCGTCCTCATCCAGGGGCAAATCAAGACATTAATGATACCTCGGCCGCTCTTGCCTCATGAAGTGCCAGTGTTCTTTTCCACTACCGTAATACTCAGCACAGTGAATTCCTGCAGTAGATGGTGCCTTGACCTCCGATAAAATCCTTGTAAAAACTGTTAATGTTTGGATCCATAATTGGTATGTTATTATGTTTGCCCTTTGTAATTGTAATTTATTTCTGTGTGGCATATTTCACCTCGATTTTGGTCCAGTTGTTTCATTGTTCTTTTAACTGTTATTATTGGGATTAAATAAATGACAAACTAATGGAAGAGCCTAAAGGCATTGTTTATCCTCGACCCCACAGAAAGAAAAAAACGGAAAGAAAATTATGGGGCTGGAGTGGTTTTAGAGCAGGTAGGTAAAAACAAACTTCAGGGAAGCAGGATGCGTGACACATCTGTCATGGCAGCACAGGGAAGAGGCAGGAAGATAGTGAACTCAAGGCCAGCTGGCGCTGTGTGGCCTGATCTTGTCTCCAAGAACCAACAAAAGAAAAATGATATGCACTACCTATCCTACCATCTAACTTCCCCTGGAAGAAGTATTGAGAACGGAAGTCCTATTTTTTGTAATCAGTAGAAAGACACAGAAATTACTATTGAGAAAGAGCTGGGTGTGGTAGTAATCCCAACACATGGGAGGATCTCAAGTTCAAATCCCATGTGGGCAAATTAGTGAGATCCTATCTCAAAAAATAAAGGACTGGGGACGTAATTCAGTGCACAGGGCTTGGGTTCAATCTTCACAGTGTGGGAAAAAAAGAGACGAAGGAGAAAATTATCTCTGGATCTTTGTAGCTAGACTTGTAAAACAGCAATTTAAGGCCACATTATTCTTGTCCTTTTGTCTTTCATATGTATTTAAATACTTCTATTTATCATGATTTTTTGTTTGTTGACATAAACACATGTAGGTATAAACATATATGTGTGATTTTACTTTTAATATATTTTCTAATCAATGAATTGGTTAAATTAGGCAATGAAAACTTCTAAAATAATATAGAATGTTTTATTCTTTTGATGTATTTTCTTTCTGAAGTTATCTGTAATATGTGTTTTATATATTGGGCATAAATTATTTTGTCATTAAGCAATTTAGGTTGTTAAAATGATGACTTATTACTTTAATAGATGATAATTATCCAGGACTGGTGTATAAGCACTACATTTTGCTCTGTGTGATGTGTATATAAATACAGTTTCATCACAACAATCTTTGAATGTATTCTAACCTATAGTCTATTAGAAATTTGCATTAAAGGGACTATATAAGAGAAGTTAAGTTGTAATATGATACCATGATGTTAGGGACATGATGTTTTAAACGAGTTTGTTTGAAGATTTTCTGGTAACAGATGAGCTTTGTACTTTTATATAATTTCAGTTGAATGTATAAATTTCCATTACTGACTTTTCTAAACTGAAACATTTATGCAGGTAGTTATATTTTTTATTTATGAATAATGTACAAAAAATTGAAAATTTCATTGTCCAAGGCACTTATTTTTCTAAGAAATAAATATGTCTTATGTTTTTATTCATAGTTGAGTACATGTTTTTATTTAGTGTGTATCAGTAATGCATCCCAAGATCTTAGGATGAATGCAGTCTTCTACTTCTGAATGAGCCTGTTAAAGAAAATTCACTAATCAGTGGAGCTCTGCAGTACTGCTTAAATACCATATCTGCAGTCTTAATTCTCAGTTTGAGTACTAACAAGCCACACAGAGAAGTAAGAATCATGAAAGAAATGAATTGGACAAGATCTCAGAGATATTTAATCTCTTTATTTTCAGTGAGGAATTTCAGTGACTCGTTTTAAACCTGAAGTGCTAAGAAAAGTTGCAGCTCTGTGCACCTGATGTGTCTTCTGTACACTTCTAGTCAGGAAATTTGCTGACCTCTGCTTTACACTTCTGCTTTATCATCTATGCAGAGATTTTATATGTGTGAAGTGCTTTCATACATGGTTACAAAAGGTCCACTGAAAGCATTATTTGGAAAATATCTTGCTTGCTTTCCTAGGGTGGTTTCTGAGTGCTCAGGTGATGATATAAGTGACAAAATTGTATCATCAGTTTTCAGCAAAGCCAGCTGTATCCCATGTGTGGGAAGAACAAGAGCAAATGAATGAGAAACCGGGGTTATTGATATGAGGACCATATGCACTGAGATTTCCAGTATCGCCCTGTTACATACCTCTATTAAATATGCCTGAAAGGCTTTGATATATAAGTTCACAATTATCCTGTAATTGTTAATTTCTCTGAAGGAGATTATTCATTTGGAATTGTTGCTAAAAGTTTATTGGAATGCTTTGTAGAGCTCTTCTTTTGGTGTTATCCTAGTTACTTCCTTTCTGCTGGGACAAAATAACCCAACACTCACAAATTAAAGAAGGAAAGATTTCCTTTGTAGAGGTTTTATTCCATAGTCTGCTGGCTCCAAAGCTGGACAACATGGTGGAGGGGAAACATTTCATTGTAAGGCAAACAGGCGTCTGCTTTCTTTCCATCCCTTATACTCCATGCAGCCCTGAAGCCTATTGATTGGTGCCATCCACACTCAGGGTGGGGTTCCCATTATCCATCCCCAGAACTAGCTAAGCAAATTTATTCATCACACACCATTAATCCCAGTATCACCCACAATCCAGTCATCTCACAACAGTGTCACCTATGAACCGGTGAAGGTTTCAGGAGGCATCCAGATTCAAGCCATAATGTATTAAGTTTCTCTTCTTCTCAGCTAGCTAGAAGATACACTGTATTTTTAATTTTTATTATAGTGTAAGAGAGTCTTACTCTCTAGTTAGACTGACCTTGAACTCACCACATAGTCTAGACTGGCCTTGAGTTCGGCCCCCTGAATGCTGGGATTGTAAACATACGCCGCCACACCTAGCTAGGGAAGATGCATTTTAATGGTGTGATGAGTATTTTAGGGGCACAGTATACTAAATGGTAGTAACTATCTTAAAGCATGCTTCACTTGGTTAAATTTGAATTGTTGAGTTTAAGCGATCTTAAGCTTTGATTCCCTATTTTTTAAAAATTAGAGTAATTTGTGTGTGTTCAGAGAAGCAGATTTCTTAATGCACAGTTCTGATTACATTGAAACAATTCGAGCTTTTTAGTCAGATTTTTCACATCACCCTAATTCTGCTGAATTACAGAATTTGCCGTGGTTTACCTGTACTCAGAGCACAGCTGGTTTCCAAATCAGATGAAAAAAATCTCTGATTGGATTCCTAGAGCACATTTCATGGCTGAATTGGCATTTGAATTATAAGGTAGAAACTCAGCTATAAACTTCACTCATTCAGTCTTTGGATTTAGCAACATGGTACTCTCAAGAAGCTAAGTATTCAGCCACTTCGGCTTCATGGCTGTCTTAGTTCTTTTAACTCATTGCTGAGACGAAATACCTGATGACCAAAGTTGGGAAAGAAAAGGTTTATTTCTTACAGTTTTTGGAGGTTTCAGTCCATACTCAACCCGGCTCCAAAGCAGGGTGGCATGGCGGCGCTGCAGGTCACAGCGACTGCATGGAAAAGGCAAGAGAGCGAGACACATCTTGCCATTACATTATATGCTGGCTCCACCCCAAGGTGGGTGTAGCACTGACACCATCAATTCATTCACACCTCCAATCCAAGTGCTAGACAATGAACCAATCATAAATGCACAATGCAAATACATGAGGCCTGGGGGCGACTGACATAAACCATGACAGTGCCATTAGCACAAATGGACTCCCAATTATTCTGACCCAGGCCTTTCTCAATAATAGCCTTCTGGGCTATTAATAACAGTGTTCTGGGTTTTGTATTTCTAAAGAGCTAAGTCAGCATTTTAAAAGGCCCTGATAGGTTCAACTCAGTTTGCTAGATAAGACCTGTGACCACTCTGGGCCTACAAGATGATATCTCTTCTTAACACAGATCTACCCCAGCCCCGACTTGAACTTCTCTCCAGAAGGATAAAGCACATCACTATTCTCTAGTCTGCCTTTACCCTTGTGCAAGCTCCTAATTCTAAGCAGCTGTCTCTAAAATGCAGTGTTACATATTTGTGCAGTTTGATGGAACTATGTGGACCTGCCCATATGGACTATTTAAGAGGTATATGATCTTTTCCTTTTGTCCTTAAGCTTGTAGTCTAATTGAGGGAGCTGATTTATACTCACAAAGGCTAATACATAACATGTTTAATAATGGGAAACAAAATAAATGGCTGGAACACTGAACATGGGTATTCCTCTAGAAGTCTCAAAGTTTTAAATCACTCAGAATTTATTCTATACAGTTGGTCGGCAAGCCGTGAATGTTGAAAAAGTATCTGCTATAATTGTTCACTTTTATCACTAGGGAACAAGATATTTATTACCAAAGTAAAGCAAAAGCACCCATCTTAGACCATGTGTTGGGGTTTTTAGTTTTAAAAGTATCCAGGCATGGTAGTTCATGCTTGTAATCTCAGTAAGCAGGCGGCTGAGGCAGGAGTGAGTTTAAGGCTGGCCTGGGGTGAGTAGTCCCTTCCCAAGGTAAATAAAATAACAGTCGCCAGAGCAGGAGTGAATGGGGAAGGAAGATTTCTTTTCCCCTCTGTACTGAGGCTTGAATACTTTGTTTGCTTCGGTATTGGGGATTGAACTCAAGACCTCATTCTTGCTAAGCAAGTGCTTGTGCCACTAAGCTAAACCCCCAGCCCATCACTAGCCCTTTTTAAATTTTTTTTTTTTTTAAAGACAAATTTGGTCTAAATCACTGTTTCTCAGGCTGGACTTGAATTTACAATCCTGTCAGCCTGCCAGTATATCTGGGGTTACAGGTGTACACCACTGCACCTGGCCAGAATCTTCTTACGGTACATAGAAAATGGCATACATGTAAGAGCTGGTTGTCATTCTTTAATGTGTTGTCAAGTCAGAGGATGATAATTATTGTCTAAGACAAAACAGTATGCAAACAGAATAATGTGAGTTCAAGGATAACTCAGCCTGAAAACTTGTTCAAAGATCACTCATCAGAGGGGTCTTTCCATGCCAAATGACTCCAGGAGCCTAAATAGAGACATAATTAAGCAACAAGACATGGCAGGAAAATATTCCCTGACTATCGCATGCCAAGGGTCATACAAGGTATAAAATAATGATCCTGGAAGATACAGTCACTGCTGTTACAGGAGGAGGAGGTGAGCAATCGAAGTGCCGAGTTACTTCATGCGTTGTTATTCCAGTTGTTGGGTAAAATTGCCACATGCATAGTACATGTGGCCATTACTTGTATCCAGCATTCTGAAACTTTTATTTCCTCCAGAACCTTCCCTTAATTAAAACCTCCATGGAATGTGGGATCTCGTTTTTTACTTAGCCAAGCAAAAATCAAGCAATTCAGATACAAACTTGTAAACCCATAGTTATACCTATGCACTACAACTTGATAGAATTATGTTTAGTTGCTTAGACCTAGATTTTATAACTGAAAAAACAATTGAAGCAACCACTGGAGCTATTGACCAACGAAACTGCACACTATGATGGGGACAGACCTTTAATCAAAGTGAGAGGTGATGACCCCGTAGTTGAGACAGAAATATCCTAATTGAACAAGGCTTGAAAAGCCCTTGCAGATAGCAATGGGTAACTTACTGCTGGAATGCTCTCCATATTTCTATGAGTTTCCACTTTAGAAGATAGTTACAAAGAAATCTGCATGGAACTCAGGGCAAGGCTTTCCAGGGTCCTTAATGTTAGGGTGAGGCTGAGTCCTGGAAAGACATCTAGGCAAACAGTGCTTCCCTTCACCAGCCCAACTTCACTTTCAGTACCTAGTGCTTGCACTAGAGATCTGGTATTAGGGACAGATCTGAAGGCAGCATGGGAAATTCAAAATTCCCCTTCGAAACATTCATAATCTTAGTCTATGAAATGAACTGATGATAGATTAACAGCAGAAAAAAAAGACACTCACTTATTAACATACAGAAACAGGTCTGACCTCTCTCACCTCAAGTTAGTTACCAGGATGGCTGTTCCCAGGTGCCTGATCCCAAGGAACAAGGCTTCTCTAGGACTCAGCATACCCATAAAAAGAACATTACTACTGCTGTGGCCTCCTACTCAACTGTCTGGCTTCATTGATCTCTCACTTTCCAACACCCTTAGTTCTCACCATAAAAAGCCCCCACTGGGAAACTGACTCAGACTCTCCTTCTGAGTTATTCCAGGGAGTCTCACTCAGCACCCTAAATTCAGGCCGACTGTGTTGTTTTACTGGATTACTACCATTTACCTTAAAAACACAGGAGGCAAAGTATGAAACTTAAAGAAGAGGTCAAAGAGTTGAAGCTCAAATACTGTTCGTAGAGAAGAGCAAAGTGGGGGTGTAGGCAATTTTAGAGGGATAATAAATTATGTTTTGGGCAGATGAGTGGATCTAGAGAGCACACTGGGATGGGGTTGTGGATGTTTGCCTTGCAGTTTTTCTTCCTGTGTTATGAATTTAATCTTTTATAACTAAGAAGACCGAAGGTACCTG